CCTCTGTCTCTCTCCTGTCTCTCCTGTCTCTCCACTCTGTCTCTCTCCTGTCTCCCCTCTGTCTCCCCCCCGTGTCCCCGCCCTTCCACTGTCTCTCCGCCCTTGGAGAAATTTCAAAAACCTGCAATCAAGCTGGACAGAGGCAGCGACGACCAAACCGGAAGTTGCCTTTAATGAGTGCCTGCAGCAGCAGTGCAAAGCGCCTCAGTGTCCCGGTGAGACACAGACACGCGTGGTTTTGTCTCCCTCTACTCGAATCGACTGAACGGAATCGAACGGTGACAAATAAACACGAGACAACTCCACAGTCTGCACGGAGGAGAGCCGCCGCGTGTCTGAGCTTTACTTTGAAACGGAAGTGTGGTTGGTTCGCTCGGTGTCACTGGGGAAGTTTAAATAAAGCTCGGCTGGCTCCTCCGCCACACAGACCCATTATCCCTCCGTTAAACCGGACAGGCAGCGGCGCATTGTCTCCCACCGACTCCAGCAGGTAACACCCGGCGTCTGATTTCATTTCAAAACCCACATTTAGCCCAGAGCTAACGCGCCAGCTCGCTGCGTGCGCCCGGGTGCGAAGTGCGTGGCTCGGCCTGGCTGTGTTGGCGCGGATGGGAGATTAGCTCGTAGCCTGGTTTCCCAGCAGCTAACGGCGGCTAGCGAGAGACGGGGACCCGCTGTGAACGGTTCACTGTCGGGGGACCGAACGAGTTTAAACCGGCTCCTCCGTCGAAACCGGACATTTTGCGAATTTGCACAGAAAAAAAGAGACGTTGACACCGAAACGACGTTTCCAACCCCCGGCAAATGTCAGTGTTGTTGCTAAGTTAGCTAGTTAATGGCGCTCACGTGACTGGTAACCGTCGACAGGCTGGTTAAGATGCTGACCACTCCCAGCGCGAGCACATTGGAAATGTTAATATTGTCGATATAACCGGATAGCACTGTCGGCTAACCTGTGCTAGCCCCAGTTGGTAGTGGCTGGCCGTGTGTCAGGGTGCAGTCTGGTTTCTGGGTGCACGTAGGGAAGCTGTTCGTGTCTCAGTCACACCTCAGGTGAGTTTGTGTTTGAATGCAGGTCCAAGGTGTCAGGTGCGTTATTTGCGGTGTGGCTCTCTGTCCGCTCCCTCGTGCACAGGCTCCTACCTGTCATGAGTAATGATTTCATCTCTGAACTGTTGTGTCCCAGAGGAATTCACATCTAGTACTTATGATTATTTGCACATTTAATTCACATTACTACTGACATGTCCTAGATTCCGTCACCCACCTGTGTATATGAGATGATCCACAATGAGGAAATTTGCAATATTACAGCAGCAAGAGTAAAACATGCAAAAATGAAATGTAAGGAATATAGAAAACTATACAGTGTAAAAACAAGAAAACTATGCACAGTGATTGGATTTCACGTGAACCATTGTGTTGCACAGGCAGAATGAATATTGCACAGTTAAGAGAGTTATAAAAGTGCAGTCCATAATGGGTACATGTAGTTCTACTGGGAGCAGAGCTGGGTGTACAGGTTGGTGGAAATTATCTGTCTCAATTCAGGGGCTGTGTCCTTCCAAGGCTTCATTTGAAGACTGTGTCACGTTGGTGCGACTAGACTGTCACATTTCAAAAGTTCCTTCAATTGTGGCGAGCAAATATGTCCTTTTGACCCAGAGACATGGAGGCTGACATGTGGCTCATTTCCATCCCAACCTGTCCCAGGACTCATTGCACTTTGGTGATAAACTGATCTTCAGAGAGGTAACGGTGCCGGCGAACGACAAGACGTCTGATGCTTGAGTGTTAGCTGAGCACGATCATTTGATTCCTGAAAAAACGAAAGACTCGAATGTATTTTTTTATAAAAGGATCCACGAACATTTCGATATTTCCTGTGGTTATAAAATCACACTTCAAGCTCATCAGTCATTGACCACTTCTCTTTTCTCCTCTCTGCTTTGGTCGCAGAAACGCTGGCACCACTTTAACGCTTTTATCTGCATCGCATGTTCAAAATAGTTTGTTCATCGTCAGTCAACAAACAAATACTCGGTAGTAATCCTAGTAAAAGTATTCTATTCATTCATATTATTCACCTTTTCTAGTTATGCGATCATTATTTACGTTTCACTTTGTGGAATAGTGGCAGCTACCACTGACTTTACCCTCACATATTAGCGTTGTTCTGTCTCATAAAAGACTTTATTCATGGTTCTGAGGATGATGCTCATAATGAACAGCTTCGCCTCTGTCACATGAACGCTCGTAGCTGGATAAGAAAACCTGCAGTCAACTGAGACGGTTGATAACAAGCTTCATAATACAGTTTATCTACTGAAGCCGGATAACAAAAAGATATCCCGTGTATGTTGAACATGCGTTGTAGCACAGGCCCCATGCTATATATCACTTTTAAAATAGTAGTGTTTCTATGTTATGTGAAGCTTGATGCTTTAGGTGCAGGCAGAATCTTCCACTGTGACAAGATAATAATGATAACACATTTTATTTAAATGGGACTTTTAACATTGCTCAAAGACACTTTGCATAGGTTCGGGTTACAGAAGGCAAATGACTGTATATATAGAATAAATATCATAATCACTCATTTTGAAGAGATTGGTTTTAAGTTATGTTTTGAATGTGGACAGTTCCGTGCAGTCTCTGGTTTGTTGGGGGGGAGGGGGCCGCTATGGAAAAACGCCCTGTCGCCTCAGGTCAACAAGATGATTCTTGGAAAGATTTCAAGTCATGTTCTATGTGTCTGTGCACGAGTCTTATGAACAAGCCAGGTCACATTGAATTAGCAATTTCCTTATAACAGAGTTTGGTGCTCTATATTCGTCCAGAGGCCTGTTACAGAGTTTCTAGCACGTTTTTGGCAGGAGTAGTACCATTTCAAGGAGACCACTGTGAGTCATAGTCCCATCAACAATTTGAAAGACCAAATTTGTCACGTTTTCATTGCTTATGTGTAATATTGGCCCCAAGATGACAGCACTTTGCAGACATGTGGATAATCTTGAGCCTGTTTATGAGACTGGGCCGGATCAATAAGAAATATGAACCCGTAGCCGCTCCCTGAATGTGCATTAGACGATCACATGCTCATACTTTCAAGTGGAAGTAAGTGACTGACAGATACCGGAACTGACTTCACTTCATTCAGTCTCTTATTGCCAACAACTGACAATATAGAAAAATATTCAGAGCAAATGTTAAAGTGAAGATGTTTCCTAGTTGGAACATAGAGATCTAGATTAGTGATATTGACTCTAGGCTAGAGTCAAATTTTTTTCTGGAGCAACTGACTAAGACATTTGTGTTCTCTGGGTCACATGCAGGAGATTATTCAGAGTTCAGTGCATCTCTGAAAGCATCTTAAGGTCTAACCTTTCCTCCAGCAGTCAAACGCTAATCATATTTTTGTTGTTTTCCAGTTGAGTACCTTTGGGGAAGCCCACCCCTCCAGTGGCCAACATGGGGGACGATAGCGAGTGGATGAAGCTTCCCATCGACCAGAAATGCGAACACAAGGTGACTCTTGAGTTTTCCTCAGATTTCCTTTAAGAAAACTAACAACAGGACATGTTTGCTATATTTCTCCCACGAAACTTTCCTGTTATGAGATAATGATCATGCATAATTTGCATTCGTGTAAATGTGGGAGTAGCTAATGTTTCCTGAGCCTCAGCTGGTGTTTACTGTAGCTCATCTTAACTTCGTCTCACACTCACAGTTAAACCAGCACATGCACATTTGCTGTCTGATTAGCTTTCTTACACACGGGCTTACCCTCTTTATTTAGATCCTTATCCACAATAGGGTTTAAGTAGAAGATTAATCTAATACACAAATCCAATCCCGACCATACCAACATGCTGTTAACCAATCAAGCATGAAATCAGTCTTAATGCATTGTACTATAAGTATTTAAACAGGAATCGAAGCAATGATATGCAGTATAAAAGCCTGATATCCCTTTTTTTCCTTCTATGCCATAGTTTAATTGTTGTCTACATATTCCTTTAATATTTTCTATGCGACTCTTGCACGTTTTCAGCTGTGGAAAGCCCGTCTGAGCGGTTATGAAGAAGCTGTGAAGTTGTTTCAGAGGATACATGATGAGAAGAGTCCAGAGTGGGGGAAGTACCTCGGACTCCTAAAGAAGTTTGTCACAGACTCCAACGCTGTGGCTCAGCTCAAAGGCCTTGAGGCGGCTCTGATTTTCGTCGAGAAAGCTCACGTAGCTGGCAGGTAAATAACGAACACAACAAGAAATGCATCTTGTTGAAAAGCCTGGAATCAGTGGTCATTGGGACATGTTTAGATTATTAAGTTAAAGCCTTTTCAGACGCCAGAACAATGCACAGCAGTTTGTTAATGCTCACAGACGGGAATTAACATGTCTGGGAAGTTGTTATGGGGAAACTGTTTTATCCTTTGTCACAGTAAATAGAAAAATAAATTCCTCTGGGCTTCTAGAGAGTGATGTTGTGTGAAGGGATGGCAAAGTCAGGTGATGTTCCCTGGAGGTGTGAAGAGGCCGAGAAAGAGCATAAGTCCATTTGAAAAGTTCAAGGAGATGAAATACTGAAATCTCATAATTAATGTTAACAGTCTATATTTGTATTTATTACTTGAAGGCTACATACACGTTCAGACATTTTTATAAAGAAGTGTGCAGAGTTGCAGCAGGTAAAGCGCACTCATCTGTGTATGCTGACCTTGAAGAGAGTCCATTCATGTCAACCTTGTTCATAAAGTTCGTATTTCTACTTTATTCCTCAGGACGGCCGGTGAGGTGGTGTCGGGCGTGGTGACCAAAGTGTTCAACCAGCCAAAGGCCCGGGCCAAGGAGCTGGGCGCCGAAATCTGTCTGATGTACATCGAGATCGAGAAGGTGGAGGTGGTTCAGGACGAGCTGCTGAAAGGACTGGACAACAAGAACCCCAAGATAGTGGTGACCTGCATTGAGACGCTCAGGAAGGCTCTCAGGTCAGTGCTACTTCCCTTATTTGTGTCTTATTGTGATTTATTTATAACAAATCGGCTAAATTTACAATACCTGAGTTAGACACTCACTTGTCACCCCTCGGTCTGTCATCGTCTTCCCATAGTGAGTATGGATCTAAGATTGTGACGCTGAAACCAGTAGTGAAGATTTTACCGAAGCAGTTTGAGTCCAGAGAGAAGGCGGTGAGAGACGAAGCTAAGCTGCTCGCTGTGGAGATCTACAGATGGATCAGAGATGCTGTTCGACCTTCGCTGCAGAACATCACGGCTGTACAGGTGGGACTCGCTGCATCTTCATTTACTCACCCTAATGTTCATCCAGCGGTCAAGTTAAACTCCTCCTTGTTGTGTCTCTGCAGCTGAAGGAGCTGGAGGAGGAGTGGGTGAAGCTCCCTACTTCTCCCGCTAAGCAAACAAGGTTCTTGCGCTCGCAGCAGGACCTGAAGGCAAAGTTTGAGCAGCAAAGTGCACAAGGAGAAGATTCTGATGGTAGGTTAAAATAGACGACGAACTGCTGTAACAGGTGTATGTACACACAAAAGGAGTTAAGCTCATGCTGTCCTCTCTTCTCCCCCCCCCCCTTTAGGAGAGGATGTAGAAGACACTGTGGCGGCAGTGGACCCGTATGAGCTGCTGGAAGCTGTGGAGATTCTGTCCAAGATGCCTAAAGACTTCTACGACAAAATAGTATGTTTTTAAAACTATATGGAATACTCAGAAACTTAGAAACAGCATGTCTTTCTGTGTCGACCGCTCGAGTTTTATCTTCTGTAGTATTTTCAGGACGATTATTACTTTTCATTTAGATTCAGCTACTCAAAAAAAACTCTTAACTGGAAAGTTTGAATTAGTAATTAACATTTCCTTTGTGATGACGGCACAGTGACTCAGTGGTTAACACCGTCACCTCATGGTATGAAGTTTTAGTTTGAAAACTTTATCTTGTGTTGAAGTACGGACGAGCAGAAACCTGAATGTTTGCAACACTTACTGTCAGTAACAGTTCCACTCTGTCGTCGCTCCAAGAAAAGGAAATTCCTGCTCTTTCTTTTCACCGTCGCTCTTCCTCGTTAACAGGATTTTCTGTTACTAAGCAACCAACTGCACTTTAGACACTCTGCTTCCTGTTCACACCACATGTACAGTGTTTGTGCATAGCCATGTGATCTGGGTTCTCAGCTGTCACTTTCAACAGAGTCTATGGGATTTGGAGCTACAGTGCTCGCACGGACAGATAGTGTTTTAGTTTTAAGACCTTTTTTTTAACCTCGTGGATAAATGTGGTTGAGCTAATGGATGAATATGTGATCACACTCTTGCTTGTGTTTTTTTGCAGGAAGCTAAAAAGTGGCAGGAAAGGAAAGAAGCTCTAGAGGCTGTAGAGATTCTGACCAAGAAGCCCAAACTAGAGAACGGAGACTATGGAGACCTCGTCAGAGCACTGAAGAAGGTAAAGACTCAAGTACTCAAGCAATCTTAACGAGATGAGCGATCTGGTGACTCTATATTGAACAGTTACTGGTTTTATGTTCCAGGTTGTGGGAAAAGATGCCAACGTGATGCTGGTGTCGTTGGCAGCTAAATGTCTGGCCGGACTAGCCTCTGGTCTCAGGAAGAAATTTGGAACATATGCCGGACAAGTGAGTTTAACGAATCTCTTCACATTATACATAATTGTTTTTTTTCTATAATAAATAACCTCCAAGTCTCTTGTTGTCATTTCAGTTAGCTTCACATTAAAATATAAAAGGCATCATGACAAATTGTGAAAGCAACATTAATGCACCATAAACACAATCCAAAAAAATTTAAAGTTTAAAGGACTTAAATACAGAATAAAAAATTAATAAATAAATGAAATAAAATATCTGTTCAGTTTAAGAAATAAAGAATAATCATAGAATTTAATGAAAGATTTTTTTGTACAAACAAAACGACTCAACTTTTCCACGTTTCAATATTGATTATTGCTAAATTGGAGCTCTGTGTGTATTTAGGTGGTTCCAACTATTCTGGAGAAGTTCAAGGAGAAGAAGCCTCAGGTCGTCCAGGCCCTGCAGGAGGCTATTGACGCCATCTTCCTCACTGTAAGTCTAAATACACGTTACCATGATTCAACTGAAGTCGACCCTGTGGAAAGTAGCTGGGACCTCCTCTCTGTTGCATAATATACATTTTCACTTGGTTTTCTCTGGGTACATGAAGGTGACCTAGTTCAGAGACGTTCCTTTCCGGCGATAGTTACTTTTTTAATGTTCGCTAGAGTTTGACTTTTTTCAAAAAGCATTAATCGTCTGGTTGACACGACTCTACCACTGCTCTTGTATTGATTCCTTACTTCATTTGTATTTATAGAGCACTCCACTGACTCCCCAGACCTTTAATGCTTTTCAGAAGGTGTTTTTATTGTTTATAATAATGTCTAATGTGCTCTATCTCTTTTCCAGACCACTCTACAGAACCTTTCCGAGGACATCCTCGCCGTGATGGACAATAAGAATCCCTCCATCAAGCAGCAGGCCTCTCTGTATCTTGCCCGCTCCTTCAGACACTGCACGCAGGCAAATCTGCCCAAGAGCATCCTCAAACCCCTCTGTGCTGCTCTCATTAAGGTACATTCACCCCCGAGTGGAAGCATCCGAACAGTATCGTGAACTTTAAGTTTTGACGAAGCTGTAAATGTTAATAAATAAATCAGTCAATTCATTTTGTCTCGATAAAGGACTGATACTAGAATAAGTTCAGTAAAATATACAGAAAAGTCTGAGCCCACTGTTGCTCCATTCTTTTTTTCATACCATGGGGATGTGTGAGATGATTTCAGGTGGTGTAAGATAACCATTAAATCATCACTTTCATTTTGCCTCTTCAACCATATCAGCAAGTGAACGACTCTGCTCCAGAGGTGCGTGACGCTGCGTTTGAAGCTTTGGGGACGGCCCAGAAGGTGGTGGGAGAGAAAGCTGTGAACCCGTTCTTGGCCGACTTGGATAAACTCAAACTGGACAGGGTAATTATCAGTCGAGGGAAAACTCACATCAAACCTTTAAGGGCTTAATTTTATAACACCCTTACCTTCTAACCACCGTCCCCTTCTCTCATTTGTTAACAGATAAAGGAGAGTGCTGATAAAGTGGAGCTCCCTGGAACGAGAAGAGGTGGCAGCGGAGCCGGGGACAAGAAAGCTGCTGCTAAAGCTCCTCCCGCTGCTGAAGCTCCCCCGAAAGCCTCTGCCCCACCCAGGAAGACCCAAACTGCTGCTGCCAGCAAGGTACATTCACTGCAGTACACGTGTGTTAGTCTGTCGCCTGGTTATTCTGCTGTTTCTGGACAGTATGACTCAATCTACATCGACAATCAAGTCACAGTTCGAGTGTTGTGTCTTTATTTGTTTTGCAGTCATCATCGGGTCCGCCTAAGAAAGGAAAACCAACCTCCGCAGCTGGTGGAAAAGCCAAGAAGACGTCCGACAATAAAGAAGTAGCAGAGACTGAACTGTCGGTAAGTCTGTGTGCAAACACTCACATGTCAGGGGAAGCTTTGGTGAAAACAAGATGTGGAAAGAATTTACGGAGATGAGACCCAAAATCACAAATGTATAATTTCATAACGTCCCCTGAAACCTGACAGCTGCTGCGTGGTAACAGAAACATACCATTACACTTAAACTCTGATATTTGTTGTCACCTCTGTTATTTGGTAAATTTGTCTGAGGAAAACATAACCTCCAAGGGTGTAATGGCACATGTGGTTTACACTACGGCTCTGAGGGATTCAGCAGTATCTGGATGTCGCTGTCAGAATTTCCGATGACACTAGTTTGTGTTTTGTCAGATCGAAGTGTGTGAGGATCTGGCAGCAGGCGTACTTCCTGCTTCCTGTCTGCAGCAGCTGGACTCAGCCAACTGGAAGGAGAGGCTGGCGAGTATGGAGGAATTCCAACGGGTAAATACAGCCGATCAATTATATGATGATAATTAGATACTTCATTCCAGCTTCTCCAATCTGAGGAACTGATACTCATCTTTCTTATATACAAGTGAACTCAACATGTTTGGCTTTTAGAAATATATCAGATGTGAAGAGAATCCGACTGGTCGAACCCTGCGACTGTCAAGTTTTCAGTTGTGAGGTTTAACACGTGTCACTATCTGATAAACAATGATGTTAAACCTGCAGACATTAATCTGTAGCTTCATCTGTGCTTCTAGGCCGCTGAGACCATGGATAAGGGGCAGATGCCCTGTCAGGCTTTGGTCAGGATGTTGGCCAAGAAACCAGGTTGGAAGGAGACAAACTTTCAGGTAACTGTTATAAAATCCTGCAAGAAAAACCGTGAGTCGTTCCTGCCAGATTATTTAGTTATTCTTGTTTATAGTTATTTATTCTTTAGAAGTGTTGTAGGTAAAATTGTAATTGTTTTATTTTTAAACCTCACATCTCACTAAATGGAAATGACGATATAAATGTGTTTTTTTGCTTAAAAACGTGAACAACACATCATGAACCAGGACACTGAGGAAGGAATGAAATTAAATAACGGATCTGTTTTTTATTCTCTAACACATTTTAAACAGTGACGTTTTATCTGGTTGAGGATTTCTCCAAACTCAGAGCAGAAATAAAAGCACAAACAGATTTCATGATGGGACCAAAGTGATTCTGAGGTCAAGAGAGGGTCGGTCACTAAGGGAGTGGGAGGTTCCTCGTCTGATGTCGTGGTCTCCTCTCTGTCTTGGTTTAGGTGATGCAGATGAAGCTGCACATCGTGGCTCTTATTGCTCAGAAAGGACAGTTTTCAAAGACGTCGGCCTCCGTGGTTCTAGACGGCTTGGTAGACAAAGTTGGAGACGTGAAATGTGGCGGAAACGCAAAAGAGGGACTGACAGCGATCGGAGAGGCGTGCTCTCTGCCCTGGACCGCAGAACAGGTTTGTAACCACTTTCCCTTCTTTACTAGTTCGCTATGTCTAAGTCGAAAAGGCATTTTTATCCCTGACAAAGATCTGACATCACTAATTGCTGAATTTACAAGGTTTGTGTTTTGTTTGTTAGGTTGTTTCGATGGCTTTTGCACAGAAGAACCCGAAAAACCAGGCAGAGACTCTCAACTGGCTGGCGAACGCCATGAAGGAGTTTGGCTTCGCTGGGTAATTTTCAGTCGTCATTTTAACACTCATCACTAAATTTAAATCGGTTTGTTAGCTTTGCATTTTGATGAATACAAAGTATTCCTAAAAAGTATTGGCTTAAAAAGACCAAAGATGTTGCAGCGCTGTGAGATAATCTGTTGACATGTTCTCCCTCCAGGATCAATGTGAAAGGTTTCATCAACAACGTGAAGACTGCTCTGGGAGCAACCAACCCCGCTGTTCGGACAGCAGCCATCACCCTGCTGGGAGTCATGTTCCTCTACATGGGAGCTCCTCTGCGCATGTTCTTCGAAGACGAGAAGCCTGCTCTCCTCGCACAGATTGATGCGGAGTTTGAAAAGGTATGGGCGTCAGAGAATTCAAGAAACGGAACACGTGTAATCAAATTTAAAAAAAATACATTCATGGTTCAGTTGAGGGAGTTACTCATGACAAGGAGGAGGAAATAATCAATTTTTATGTGCAACCCTTAAAGATGCAGGGTCAGTCTCCACCACCTCCAATCAGATTCAACAAGAAGGCGGCAGCAGAGGAGGTGGGTGATGAAGGGGAGGAGCAGGATGAGGACGGAGGAGCTGGAGGAGGACAGGACATCATGGACCTGCTGCCCAGAACAGATATCAGGTAACCAGACTGACCATTGACCGACATTAATGAGTCCCACCTGTTTATTTGTTGACAAAGATAGTCGTACGAAAACATTTTACACCACTATATACTTTATATACCAATACTTACCAAGTTGTGACACGACTGAAAACATGTTGATTATAAATAAGTGTCCATATTAAACCTGTCTCCTCCCCACACACACACACACACACACACACACACACACACTCCTTTCTTTTCTCCTCTCTAAGTGACAAGATCACGTCCGACCTCGTGTCTAAAATTGGCGATAAGAACTGGAAGATCAGGAAGGAGGGGCTGGACGAGGCAGCGGCCATCATATCAGAGGCCAAGTTCATCACAGCCAACATCGGAGAGCTGCCTCTGACCCTGAAGGAACGACTCGGAGATTCCAACAAGATCCTGGTGAGTACGAGCCCGTTCAGCTCGTACAGAGTCTAACATCAGAGCTACTTATAAAATATATAAAACATAAAAAACATTCTGGCTTTTATCAGCGTAACTTAATTTGATTGAAACTCTTTTCCATCTTCAGATACATGAAATTTACAGCAAACGATGTGAAATATGAAATTAATCATTTTCCAACTTTGTAGTGAAATGGTGTTAATACGGTTGTGAATTATTTTGGCCACAATAATCATCCAGTGCACCTATGGACATGAATATGAACGGATTAAAGGGAGGGATGTGTCTTTGCTTAAGGGTTATATATCCCCTCATACCTCAGCTTTAATCGTTGCTTCATCTTATATTGCAGTGACGTTTTTATGAGGACGAGATTAACAAACCTTTGTACAAGTTGTTTTCTGTTGCATGGCCACAGTTTTGTAGTTTTAGATTTAGAAAACAGTAAAATTGACCCAGTTAGTTCATTGTGGTGAAATATGTGGTTTTGAAGTCGTTGTAAGTGCTGCCTTGGTACTCTCAGTGGAAAGTAGCTGTGTTCTGTTAATTGGCAAATCAACGTCAAATTGAAAAATATATTTTACTCCAGAGAAAGATTCAATAACGTCATGTAGTTGGAAGAGCTGCAAACTAAAACGAGTGTTGTGTTTGTGTCTCCAGGTCCAGCAGACTCTCACTATCCTGCAGCAGCTGGCTGTATCCATGGGACCTGGACTCAAGCAGCATGTCAAGGCACTGGGAATGCCTATTATCACTGTACTGGGAGACAGCAAGGTACTGTGTGCACACAAATCAGAAGCAAACCAGCAGCAGTGACACACATAGTTTCTGAGAAGCCCTATCTGTGGACAGCATCATGTCCTCTGACTGTGTGATGATGAGGACCTGGTCTCTCTGTTCCTCTGCAGTCTAATGTGAGGGCGGCAGCCATGACTACTCTGCAGGCGTGGGTGGAGCAGACGGGGATGAAGGACTGGCTGGAGGGAGAAGACCTGTCAGAGGAGCTGAGGAGAGAAAATCCCTTTTTGCGACAGGAGGTTTGCACAGACACAAGTTCTTATTTTTATTTATTAAACGTGTTTTCTGTATCCTGAACTGAATCATGAAACTTCTTTGTCACGCAGGTGCTCGGCTGGTTAGCGGAGAAGCTGCCCACCCTGAGGACGGTGCCCGGGGATCTGATGCTGTGTGTCCCTAATCTTTACGCCTGCCTGGAGGACAGAAACGGAGACGTGAGGAAGAGGGCTCAGGACGCCCTGCCCACCTTCATGATGCACCTGGGCTTTGAGAAAATGTCCAAGGCTGCTGGCAAACTCAAAGTACTGAACTGATTTTTTGTGACAAGGAGATAACTTTGATAAACAGTGATTCATGTCGTAAATTGCTCATGCGTCTGTTCATCTCTCTCCAGACTTCCTCGAAGGATCAGGTGGTAGCCATGTTGGAAAAGGCGAGGGCAGTGATGCCAGCCAAACCCGCCGCTCCCGCCAAGGCAGGAGGGGGGAAAGACTCTGCAGAGCCAAGCAGAGCGGCTTCAGGTGTGTGGCATCATGATGAATGAAAAGTTTCACATTGGGAAATCTTGAGAATGAATCTGTGATACTATGTTAATGTCAGTTTTATTTATTTAGCACATTTAAAACAACTTGTTTGACCAAAGTGCTTCACGAAGTAAAAGGTAGATGGTTATACTGCGTGCTCTCTTGTGCATGCATGTGTGTACCTACCGATATAGGTTGATGTAATTTTGTGGGAAACGCTGTGGTGTCTCCAAAATATACCACCAGTTGTGAATGTGTTCCTCTGCAGAGTTGAGTGGGTTTGTCCTCTAATCACGGGGTTAAATGTTTGTAAAAAAAAAAAAAAAAAAAAAGTCTTATGCTCGTCCTCTGCAGCCTCCAGGTCTCAGCCAGCGAGCGACGACTGTGTTGACGGTAAACCTGAAGTTAAGAAGGTCCGAGGAGGAGCCCCTGCCAAGAAGGTAAGTCCGCCTGGTCCAGCTCCTGTTTTTATTTAAAATCTTTTAAAATGTTTGTAATGCCACAAAAAAAAGACTGGATTTGACTCGTCATTCATTTCAATGATGAGCAAATCGTATCCAGCCTGACCGTAAATGTGTGGTGTTAAGTTTAAAGAGACGAGGTGAAGATCTCTACATGTCGTAAATATTCACACATCGTTTTTATTTAATTTGTCGTCAGTACATTTCATATTGTTTCCTTTTTTTTATTCATTACATTAAGTGTAAACGATGTGTGGTTTTTCTCATCACCCAGCCTCCTTCCTCCCCCGAGGAACCCATCCCTCCCCCTCCCTCCAAGGACAAGGACAGTAATGCTAGTAAAAAGCCCCCCAGCAAAGGGAAGGCTGCTGCTGGCAGTCAACAGGTAGATGTGTAACAAGTGTCCTCGCGATGAAACTCGGCCTAGAGTGTCTTCACACTTCTGCTGCTACTTAAGCTGCTCTCAGACATGCACTGAACTCCTGATAAAGCCTGCCAGTCCCTTAATGAACTCTGGATAATGTCCTAATGAGCCCATATAGGATTCACTGTGAGCGAATGGAAAAAAAAAAAAAAAAAAAACTTCAGGGTGAAAAGGAGATGGTTCAAGAGCTTTCGGTGATGAGGGCCGACGCCGTAACGCTAAGAATATCTTGTTGTGAACGTCTTAACGCAGAATCGCTGTATGTGTCCGACGGCGCGGACATTCTCCGAAGTGCATGTCTGAAAACGGCTTTGCTCACGAGCAGCGAATGTAGGCGGTTTCTCAGTGGACAGTCGTTAACCCCGGCCGACGTCTCTCTGGTCCAGTCTTGGCTCAGCCTAATCCTGTGTTTCTCCAGTCACTAATACTGCCACTGAACACACAACTGCATATGGTCACACGGTTGTGAGGTGGAATTTAACATGTAACATTTAAGAGCTGCATATGCATGCTTGCAGAAATGGAGCACAAACGGAGTTAGGTCACACGTCGGTGTTTCAGGCCTCATGAATGTGTGTGTGTGTGTTTCATGTCTTGGAATAATATCACATTGGCATTTCCACACTGTTCTGTGTGTTAACCCGCACTGAGATCTTTTCCGCATCACACAACTTTGTCTCCTGTCTCTACTGTGTCACACACACACACACGCACGTCTGAGAAAGCCTGTGGGAAAGCAGGATTTCACACAGTTGTAACTACACAGCAGCTCACCCGCTCTCTGATGTTGCCTCCCCCTCTCAGGGTGCCGCTGGTAAGAAGCCTCCTGCCAAAGGTGCGAAGGAAGAAGAAGATAAATCCGGGCCGATCTTCGTCCTCATCCCCAACGCTAAGGAACAGAGGATAAAAGAAGAGAAGCAACTGAAGGTATCGAACCATGAAACCTGTTCGGTTGTCAGGATGTGAGACAGACGGAGGAGGGGGTGGGGGGTGGTCAGGGCCAACCAATCAGAGCGAGGCCTGACATCAGCAGCTCCTCTGCCTGTGGCCTTTTCAGTTCAGGCTAATAAACTGTGTTTGATTTGTTCCTCTCAGATTTTGAAGTGGAACTTCATCACTCCCCGAGAAGAATATGTGGAGCAGCTGAAAACTCAGATGGCCACCTGCTTTGCAAAGTGGCTGCAGGATGAGCTATTCCACTTTGACTTTCAGAGACACGTCAAGGCCATAGGAGTCATGATCGAGGTAACAGTCGCTCTTATTTCCACTGGGAGGTCGTGTGTTGCCAGTCGCTCTGCTAATAAAGTTTGTTTGTATTCAACAGAGGCTGGAGAGTGAGAGCGACGCCACCATCAGCTGTCTGGACCTGATTCTGAAGTGGTTCACTCTGCGCTTCTTTGACACCAACACCACGGTGCTGATGAAGGTGCTGGAATATCTGAAGCTGCTGTTTGCCATGTTGAACAGAGAGAACTACCACCTGACCGAGTACGAGGCCAACTCCTTCATCCCCTACCTTATACTCAAGGTGAGCACACATCTCTGAGGATCATGAAACATATCGCTGTAGAAGCTTTTTGTTCTACTTGCTCACTTTCATCTCTGACCTCAGGTCGGAGAGTCGAAGGACGGGGTTCGCAAAGATGTGCGGGCCATCCTGACCATGCTGTGTAAAGTCTACCCAGCATCCAAGGTGTTCCCTCTGCTCATGGATGGAACTAAATCCAAGAACTCCAAACAGAGAGCTGGTATGTCTCTACACACAAGCTAAAGCTTCAGCAAACCTCTGTACGAATGTCATCTGTTATGATCTCGACCGAAACTGCTCCAAGAAGCAAAAAGGTTCCTTCAAACCATCGTTCGTCTGCGTTCAGGCAGAGCTGAGCATTTCCTTCTCAAGGTTAAAATGATTTCCCCAGAACTTGATTTAGACCCAGGTCCCTGTGGTGGAAACACACGAGTTCCTTCCTTCTGTCAAAAAGCAGCTAAAGATGAAAAGTATGAGTTGTCTGACTTGTTGATGTCTCCTGTCCTCAGAATGTCTGGAGGAGCTGGGCTGTTTGATAGAGGGCTACGGGATGAATGTATGCCAACCGACGTCAGCCAAGTCTCTGAAGGAGATTGCCGTTCACATCGGTGACAGAGACACGTCTGTCCGCAATGCCGCCCTGAACACTGTGGTGGCCGTCTACAACGCCTGCGGGGAGCAAGTTTACAAGCTGATTGGAAATGTAAGAAGGAAGCCAGGCAATCGTCTTAATTTACTCGGCCCCAGAATAATCTAACCTGTACCAGGGCTGGGCGGTTACATGTCGGTTAATTCAGTTAATGCGTGCGTTCACGACCTGTCGGGTTCCTGCTACGTTCCGTACTGTATGACCCTGCAGCATGTCCTCACTCCCACCAACACTCATCAGAAGTTAGGACACGTAGGCTACATGACTTGAAGTCTACGTCGTGTGTGTTTGATTCTCTCTGAAGTTCAGGAGACACATATTTAAACACATTATCCAGATATCGATTTAAAGCCCGGCCCTACAGTTTTGAAATCATTCTTACCCTCGTCCTTTTTTTCCAGTTGTCAGAGAAAGACATGAGCATGCTGGAGGAGAGAATCAAGCGTTCAGCCAAGAAGACTGCCGCAGCTCCTGCCAAGCAGAGTGTGGCGGAGAGGTCTCAGCGGGAGCACCCGACTAACCCCAACGCCACCTTCCTCCGAAAGCCGGCACAGGAAGACCCTAACAAGCTCAAGTAGGTTCCCTGACTCCGGGCTGTGGGACGCGTACGATACATGTGTGAATGTATAAGGAGGGAAATAATATTTACTCAACACAAAACCTATAACATATATTTAAGTGTTCCATCATAATTCACAGAACATGATGCATCCAAACCAACTTCTCTGCTTGTTGCTCATTAGCATGTTCTCATCCTGTCAACCTCTTGAGTCTGTCGGATCCATCACTTGGTCACATCACTTGTTCACGCTCTGGACTGTTGTGACTTGAGTGTTGTTGGAGTCGCGTCACTTGAATGTTCGTTCTCTGCTCATGACTAATCTGTCCTTCTCTTCTCACCCTGTTTTACTGAGTCACTGCATGTTCGGTTGTTTTCACAGACACAGGCCCATAAATCTTATCCTCTGTCCGTGAAACCAACTTCCTGTGTGTGTGGGGCTACATCCATGCTATGTTTCTTATTTGAAAATAAGAAAACGCATATTCCTGGTGTCCACAGTACGTTGAGAGCCGCTAATACTCGCTGCTGGCCTCATTTGAGTTAAAACTCTGGGGCTACATTTCAGTCTGGATGAGCAGAAACGTCTCAGTTATTGCAAACAATGTCAGGGACTCAGTGTTTTCAAAATAAAATACCAGCATGGATGTAGCCTGAGAGTGTGACGGAGTGTGTGTTCTTTTGCTGGCTGGTTTTGCCGGCTGCCTGTCGTCTGCCTGTTTGTCTCTTAACCCTTCATCTTTCTTCCTGTGTGATTTCCTGCTCTCTCTGCTCTGCCTGCCTTCCTTATGGAGCAGAATAATGTATCGCACGTATAGGATGTGAGTACCTCTTTCTCCTCCTTTTCCTCCCTCTTCTCTTTGTCACTGTAGGAACTCCTGAATGCAAACTCTCAGTCTAACATCCATCATTCATAAGGATTGTGATCAGAAAAGGTTTGGTGTGACTTTGGAGTTGAGTTTCGCCTCCTCACATGGTTTGGGAACAAGAGTCCAACCTTGTTCCCCTCTGTCATGTGGTCAGTAGAGCACCAGACTTGTGATCCAAAATGTCCTGCTGTCACTTTAATACGACTCATTCTTCTTCCCTCTTTACCCTTTGTCTTGTCTCGTGCTGGGGTCAGACTAACTATGATGCGTTTGAAATGATCACTCAGATAGAGGAGATCATAGAGTCATTAGTTCTTTCTGTGTTGTTGCCGAGAGACAGATTAAATGATCGATAGCTTTGCCTGTGGCTAATTTTTGTTTCCTAACCCACCTCATGCTCTGAACCTTCTAGACTGTGCTATAATAATAATAATAATAATGATAATGGTGATATCATGTAGTCTGACCCCAGCTTATTTGTGATCCTTGGCTGTGCTGTATCTGGAAATGAAAATCACCTTCTGACAGTTGCACAAAGAAATCTAGTGGCGGCTACGTTTTTGTAATTATCAACAGTTTTTTGTGGTGTGTAAAATGTATGTAAAAACATAAAAATGACAATTACTCGTAACCTTACCAGCTCTGTGAATGAAGAATTACAGTCAGAGGTTTTAAAGGGTCACTATGCACCCACCTATATCCAAGCTTCTGTCAGCTGGGACCGGAGCTAAGAGGCACTGATTGATATTAGGCTGTCCACTCTCCCTGCGTCCACCCAGTCAAGCCCGTCAGAACACCCAGCACAGCGAGTCCTCTCACCCCTCCATCCCCAAGGAGTTCCAGTTGGACCTGGACATGATCGAGAGGGACCAGAGCAGAGTGTGTGAGCTGCCAGACCTCGTCCAACACAAGCTGGACGAGCTGTTGGAGCCAATTATGATCCCCGAACCCAAGTGAGCACCCTGGAGACACTGGAGCACGATCACAGCTCAGGAAACAAAGCTTCAGAACCAACGTTTGTTTCTGCTTCTGTCTTCATAGGATTCATTCTGTCTCTCCACACTTTGATGAACTTCACAACAGCACGGCCTCCACCATCAACTTTGTCATCTCTCAGGTGGCCAGCGGTGACATTAACACCAGTATACAGGCGCTGGCACAGGTATAACACACAAACACACAGTTCTAACCACAGATTGTGTAAATCACAACTGAGGGCTCCAAAAAGTGAAGCCAAATAATCTTTATGTTCTCAAAAGCTCTCTCATTATTCGTCATTGTCCTCCGCAGATTGACGAGGTGCTGCGACAGGAGGACAAAGCCGAGGTCATGTCGGGACACATCGACCAGTTCCTCATCGCCACCTTCATGCAGCTGAGGCTCATCAACAGCACACACATGGCCGACGAGCGGCTGGACAAGAGAGACATCATCAAACTGTACAGCTGCATCATAGGAAACATGCTGTCTGTAAGTCGTGCGACGTGTCTCTAACACTAACCGCGGCGGTGAAGCTCCGGACGAGTAGGACGCTAACTTCTTAATTCCTCCCTGTCAGTTGTTCTCGATGGAGTCCCTCGCCAGAGAGGCGTCTATGGGCGTGTTGAAGGACCTGATGCACGGCGTGATCACACTGATGCTGGACAGCAGAGTGGAGGACATGGAGGACGGACAGCAGCTCATCAGATCCACCAACCTGCTGGTGATCAGAGTGCTGGAGAAGTCTCACCAGACCAATATGATCAGGTTCGTATCAAATAACTAATCAGCTGAATTTAGACGACTTGTCTGACAAGCTCATTATTTACTGCTGATGATGAAATAATCAAAACGACCTGGCAGCGATTTTGACCCAGTTTCCGACACCTGCAGTAATTTAACTGAGGACGTAGAAGAAGACATGTTCAACTCTGCGGACGGACTGTTTGACTGACTGCTTTGTTAGCGTTGGGTATTTAACCAGTGACACCACAGTGGGTCCTCTGGGTCTAAATGCCCAGAAACACTGAAGGTGTTCAGGGGGCAACTCGACCAGTCGCTCGAAAACCACCTCATCGTTTGAACACGAAGGAGCAGCGGCTCTGTAACTGAAGATTCTTTTAACCCGTTGATCTGACTCTTCCTGCGTCTCTGCAGCGCTCTGCTGGTTTTGCTTCAGGACAGTTTGGTCACGACGGCCGGTCCTCCGAAGTTCTCTGAGCTGGTCATGAAGGTGAGACGAGCACAGAGCACATCACCTCGCGCGTCCACTCCAGTGGATTATCACGTCTCACCCACTCTCCTGTGTTCGTGTGTGTGTGTTCAGTGTCTGTGGAGGATGACCCGTCATCTCCCAGAGACCATCCACAGCATCAACCTGGATCGGATCTTACTGGATGTCCATAACTTCATGAAGGTTTTTCCCAAAGAGAAGCTCAAGCAGCTCAAGAATGACGTCCCTCACAGAACCCTCAAGACTCTGCTGCACACACTCTGCAAGCTCACTGGACCCAAGGTGACACACATGTGTTTCTGTGTTTTTTTAGATAAATCTGTTCATCAAAAAAGTTCAGATCCTGCTCTCAGTGACTTGTCGCTAAATTCATCTCGAGGTTTTGATCTATTAATTATGCCAACGTCTCGATAAACAGATCCTGGACCACCTATCAATGATAGAGAATCGTAATGAGTCGGAGTTGGAGGCCCACCTGAGGCAGGTGGTCAAACACTCTGGAAACCTGTCAGGACTCAAGAGTGACCGAGGCAACGAGAAGGGCGGTCTGCGCACGGTGAGCGACACGAGCCAAAAAACCATTTCATCGAGAATCGAGCCGCTCGCTCTCTTCAGGTCACCTGACTTTGTCCGTTCTGTTCTCAGGAGGAACGAATGTCGAAGGCGAAGGTCAGCGACATTCTGTCTGAAATCTTCAAGAAGATCGGCTCCAAGGAAAACACGAAGGAGGTCGGTTCAGCTGCCGTTTGTGTGTGTGAACGTCGTTCCCGACAACAAAGAGCCTGGCAAACATGAGTCACGTGTCATTCTTCTTCTCAGGGTTTGACGGAGTTGTACGAGTACAAACAGAAATACTCGGACGCCGACCTGGAGCCCTTCCTCAAAAACACGTCTCAGTTCTTCCAGAGCTACGTGGAGCGAGGCCTTCGTATGATCGAGTCGGAGAGAGAAGGCAAGTCTCGCATCCAGACCTCAGCAGGTACGACTGGAGGCTGTCGCTGCGAGTTTGAAATCAGGAGGAGGAGGAGAATGTGTTGTAACACTGGTGTGTGTGTGTGT